AGAGATGCTGATTTGAAACCGTTGTTACATACAGTTACGGCATTTCCTGTTTCTGCCGGAGAGAGGGGAGTCCGTCCCAAAGCTTGCTGCTGTATTTACTCCCTCCATCTGACAGGAGGGAGCCTCGTTGAGCTGCGAGTGTGGCTACAGAAGGAGTTCACTCCGTCACGGAGGGGTAGGGTCGAGGGAGTGGTTTGGGATTGGGCCCTCATTTCTCTAAATGCACATCGATGACCGAGCGTCGAGGAGGCTCTCTGAAGGAGCTATAATCGAGGATACACTGATGGGTCCTTCACGGCTTCTCCGCGGATGCATTTCCGGCAACAGTGATGTTTAAAAGAGTCGTGACGCACGGCCGGACTTATCTCAGCCAATGACAGCTCTGCATGCATCCCCTGGATATTATTTTATTTTTGCTTTCATCGCGACGCGATGTTTACAGAGAGAACAGCTGTGAGGTCCGTGCAGAAAGCAGAGCAGTGTGTATAATATATATCAATCAGTATAACAGGCCTACATTACTCTCTTTATTTGCTTTAGTTTAATATCTACAAACAAAGAGTCGATATTTGTCTAAAACCATTTAGCGCTTCACATAATAAAATAGTAAATACACAATGGCTGTAGCCTGATATTATGCTTTAGGTCGGAGCTGTAGGTGCGTGTTGTACAGTGTGTATGTGCGTAGATGCGGCGGACAGACAGATCTCAGTTGGTTTGGTGTCCAATGCTTACTTTTAATACTTGTAAATAAAACTTTTGGCCCGTAATTTCATTTCCTCATTGTAGCGACCAAAGAGGGGGTGGGGGGGATATATCCAGTCTCTGATAGTGTTACGTTATTATGCTGTGAGTGCTCTCATAATTGTTTTATTCTGAAATTGTATAATATATATATATATGTGTGTGTGTATGTCCGCATCTGTAGCCTGTTATTGTCTCATTATACCGCACTGTAAATGAATTAAAAGTAAATATATAAGTCATCATGAACACAGTTCTGTCCATCAGAAAAAGGGCTGTGCCTCCTCGATCCTCGGTCCTCGAAGTGCATTTAGAGAAATTAGATGTCCTTCAACATGGCGCGCTGAAATCCATTTCTGGGTCACTACCGGAGGACCGAGGATTCGAGGAGTCTAAATTAGAAAGGCCCCAAGACGTTAAGCAGACTGATCTCAGACAAGCATATTCGTCATCAAATAAATGAAATTTAACTTTTTATTTGATTGAATGAAAATACAAATACAATCATTTGAAAATGTTAAAAGCATTGGTTATATTAATGTTTTAACAGTATAATTCCGACATTTTAATTGTATTTTACAATGTAAATAGTTTTGGCACTTCAATAATAACAAAAGTATTAATTTTAATTTGCAATTTTTTCTCTGGGCCACCTGCAGTCTGCAAAGAGGTTTGATTGAAAAGGTTTAAATTGTGATTTGTTAGTCTATAGTAGCCTATGTCAAGCTGAATTACCCAACCTTCTTTTTCTATTTTGACGTTTCAAAAATAACTTGGCTAAAGCAACACAAGAGACATAAAATATTTGAACAATTATGTAAAATCTGCATTAAACAATTAAATCTGTTAACCATCTTTACCACAACCACAAGGAAGCGGTCAGGAAGGGATCTGACTCTTGTAGCCGAAGTCGAGCTCAGCCCCCCCGCTGAGCAACAGGTCGATCCCGGTGCAGAACGTCGCATCTGCAGCCAGATACAAGGCAGCCAGTCCGCACTCAGCCTCCGTCCCCATACGACCCATCAGCTGTACGACAACACAACGTGTCAGTGATCATTCTTGTTCTCATTCCAGCAGTTTGAGGTTGCATCATTCCACTTTCTTGCTGCGTTTTATGCTCCTGCAGCTGTTCATACAGTTGATGCATCTTGTTTATTGTTATTTTGGTTCCACTTTACAGACTACCCTTATAAAGGATTCATAAAGCATTTATAATTAGGTTATGAATTAGTGTAAACACTTCATTAATCATTAAGAACCATTTACAAACCAGTTCTAACACAGTTTTCATACATCAACACAGGCTCACTATTTGGCAAGATGACTAAGCCTTATATTGGCTACTTAGCGAGAATCAAATCAGTGAACAACAGATACCAAGGATGCTGGCTGATGAAGAAGACGAAGTAAGCTAGGTAGCCGATATAAGGCTAAGCAGTACCGCTAAATGTGGGCTCACTATTTGGCAAGCAACCGGTCACAGTTGCCCTGTTTATCTCATGTCTTATAAAAGCTTATTAATTATAAAGTGTTCACAACCTAATTAATAAATACATATACAAACTATTCGTAAACCCTTTATAAGGGTAGTCTTATTGTAAAGTGGTACCGTTATTTTTGCTTTAAAAGCAGGCTTGTGTATTTGCTCAGTACTACATATATATTGGTTTCAAGAATTTACAAGTTCCTGATCTTTTTCTCTCTGTGTAAGTGCAGATTCACAGAGTGAACTCAGGCAACCCTCAACTGGGAAAACTGCAAACTTACAAAAGATAATAGACAATAACAAATCTTCATCCTCCACCTCTATTACCACTGTAATAAATAACTTGAGAATGGGAAAGTGCCAAGTATCGAGACATACAGATGTCATAGTATAGATATAATATGTATATAGCAGTATTGTTTACCATAAACCATTCACAATGCAGATTGTTATAAAAAAGTAATAATCTTCAGCCAGGTATTTCATATCTCTCTGTGTCAACTCTTCAGTCTGGAACTTCCCTTTTATTGTTCCCCATCAAATTCCTCCAGTGACTCGGATGAAAAAAAGTTATAATTTGCATAACCAAAAGAACAACCTGTTTCGGAAACTCTTCCTGTTTAGATGCAGGATTCAGGGAGTTCACATTTACAACCCAATAAGGCGACCACATTGTGTGGCAGTTTGCATCATTAACACAACAATGTCTGAGAAACTGTCGGCTACCTCATAATGATTGAAACCCTCAGCAAGTCTTCTTAGCTGCTGCATACGCTCAGCAGAAACCAAATGTTTCTCTGCAGCTGAAAAGCACTGAGGGGGGGCTTTTCTTTAATATTATTGTGATGCATTTTTTTAACTCACAACTGATCTGTTAAAAGCTGCTGAAAGGCAAAACGTTTTGGACCCGATTATAAGATTTCACAGATTTTCTTTGCCTTTCAGAATTAAAGTTTTTCTCTGTTTTCAAAAGTGTTATGCATTTTCATAACCTCTGACTTCATTAAGATCACTTCCACCTCTTTTAAAGATGTGTGAGAACTTGCCTGACAATTTTCTCCCATTTTAATGGTCGCTGCAGCATCTGGTGTGTGTCCTGCTAATTCTTCCCACAGAGGTGTCAGCACACTACCTGGGGAGATGCTGCAATAAACGGCAGACAGTATTATTAGACAACAGAGGGTGCTGTTAGCTCTGCAGTCAGGGGATACTTTATAAAATGTAGTTACTCCAGAACAGGACATGCTTTATGTTAACATATAAGAGGATGTTTTTATATATATATAAACTCCGGTTTTATTTTAAAAAATCAGTTAGTTTAAGTATTGTAATTTATCATCTTCACAATATTTTAAAGAAATAATGTAGTTTACTTAATTCCAAATTTGAGGTTCTTCAACTTTGTCTGAGTGTTTTCATTCTATGCTATTTCATAGAGAAGTGTTGTACTTTTATTTGACTGCATTTATCTGAAATGGTTTATCTTCAGATTACAAGCTTAAAATAGTAAAATCAAGTGACTTGTTGGGGCTTATTTCTCCAAAGATAGGAGAAAATTCTAAATAATTATTTCTTCCATAACCCACAACCAATCAGATTTATCTGGTGACACTTTGGATGGGCCTGGGGAACAGCTGGACTAAACTAATTTATACGTGTAAATAAAGCAATTCAATTTAGCTCAGAAAAAGGCTGATTACACACTGATACATCAATATTAACAATCTAATAATGTCCAATATAATAATATACT